TCATCAGTGGTAGCTGGGCCAAAAATTTCGATAAATTTTCGGGGAAAATATTTGAAATTTATTACCAAAAAAGACACGTAAATTATTTTACTGCATTTTATAAAATTTATTTTAGATAGCACACCAGTTGTTTTTCGAACTTCTTTTAGAGGATTGCTCAATGACTGTACGCCTTAGAACATGCAGACCCGAATAAACAATGACCCTGTCGCACCTTTCTGGGTCAGGATTTGTGGTTCTAAATTGAAAAGGAAGACAATGAATTGAAATGGGGTTAAATGTCTCGTATCTTACGTATCGTATCTTCCGTTGTTCGCTCATTTTTATCTGATTTTATCCTGATACTGCTATTGAACTTGAATTCAGCTACAGTCAAATAGTCATCCAGCTCAAATCCCAGTCTTGTGTTTCTTTTTTATTGTTTGCCCCTCTTAGAACAATTGCACACGTTTTTAAAGCACAACTAGAATGGAAATAGCCGAGGACTTGATACTTATTTAAAATTTTTTAAAAAAATTATTCAAATTGTCTCAAAATATTTTGAGTGTTAATGATTGAAGTGAAGACCCCTTATGTAGGTCGTAGTGTTTTTTTTTTCGTTTTTTTTTCAGGAAAAAGTGGTCAAAGTTGTTCATCTTCAAATTCATTTTTTGCAGTTTGACTTTGATTTCTATTTAATTTCACCTCAAATTCATTTACTGAATGGAATCCAAAAAAGGCCATCAATTAGCAAAATAAGTATAGCAAATAAGGTGAGAATAAGTAGGTTTTAATTTTCAGACTTTCCGGAATAAACATAACTGATTTAACGAGTTTTCTCGGAAAGATTTCGTTCCATCGGAAAAATAAGCTATCTTGAATATTTTTTAATCGAAATATCTTTAGGGCATCTTTTCGGATTCTTTGACACTTCAATCTAACAGTTTGTTGACAGGGTTTGTTTATTTTTGAACCTTGAAGTTCGAGGTGTGCTTTAAAAAGGTGAAATGTTATCCTTCGCTTTGACCACATGCTAAATCGTAATTGTGTAACAAATGCTGTTAGATCATACTACTTTATTTAAAATGACGCATAACGATGCTGATACTCGTGTGAAAATATTTCGGATGAGGATTAACGCGTGATCTGCTCTGAGCGGGATTCGAACTCCATGTCTGTCGGCTACTGTTTTTATAACTGATTTGAAAACCACGAAATCAGAGATTGTTTGAAAACACTAAAACGAATTGATCATAAATTGAAATGAAAAAACTTCATAAAATGAAAGGTTAATGTCATTTTATTAACTAAGGGTGTTTTCATATACCAAGAACGTGAAAATTGAATTAAAGTAAGATTGAAAAGTGAGCTCTAGCATGCATCTTTTTCATTGAACTAAAATCAAAATGAACTCATTGCCAATTCAGAAATTAACCTAACTCTACAAAATCCATTTGCTTGCATCTAAAACCAAACTATATGTGTGCTGAATCGCTGAAATGGTATCAAAAAATACAGGAAAAATGGCGAGATCAAAGAACAGAGAACTGGAGATTCGGAGAATCATCTTGATCTGGTCTTGAAGTAGTATCATAAAGTGAAAAAAAAAATAGATATGAAACCGGAAGTTATCTTGCTGATTTAAATTATATCCCGACAAAACGAATAAAACTTGGAATTTATAATGAGCTTACTGAAATCAGGGTGAATTTACACGAAAAAGCTGAAGACAAATCTTGCGTAGAATTTAACCAGCATTAATATGGTGCAATTTGTTTTGCGAAATTCGAGCCCAAAATTTTAACCAAAAATGATTATTTTAGGCATTTTTAGTCAATCAAAAATTTAGCCAAAACTATTGATTCATTTGCTGACAAAAATATGATATCATAGTCTTATAAAACAAAATTTAAGAAGGGTATGATCTCAAATTTGTGTAGATATATTTTCGTTTCATAGCCAAAAAATTAATTTTTACTATATAAAATGTGCTCACTAAATAATTCAAACTCAAATGAAAAAAATTTAAAAAACTTGTTTTGAAAACTTTTTTAAACGCCAGGAATTGAACAGATAATTTCGGCCTATTTTTTACTGCAGTTTTAAAAATCAATATTGTTTGATCTAATAGTATGGTCTAATGGTTTGAAAAATAGTAGGATCTGTTTCGCAAAACTAATTGTTTTGGCGTAGAAATGTCAAAAAAGATAGTTTTTGGTTTTAAGTTTTGGGTTCGAATTTTAATTTGAACATGTATTTTAAAAAGCGCGTTTAAAGTTTCCAGTGTTCGTATTGTCCGGATAATTTAAATCAGCACTGTACTTAAAAGATAAATACCTGTAAGAAAGCTGCAACATCTGCTACTAAATTCAAAAACTCAATTACGTCTACTATTGTGACTTTCGATCTAGAGTGAAAGCTCAAGACTTCTGTTTGGTTTGAATACTAAGTGATAAAAGTTTTAGGGTCGAATTTGAAAAATAAATCGGCGCTAATATCCATAATCAAATCGAGAGTGGAAAGAGAAATGATGCGCTAATTCAAAACCTTTGATATAGAAAAATTGGCGATCATTCAAAAACAGTCTAGCTCAAAGAGGCAGAAAAGATTTCATTTGTCTTGAGTAAAATGAATTTTTGTTTATTCAGGTCATGTGATCGTTTTTTGATTTAAAGGCAGATCTGAGCTCTTTGGTTTTTGAATTCTTCTTTGAGCATTTAGATCGTGTTGTTTTCATGTAACGACGTGTATGTCAACTCGATTTGACTCAAGCAGTCTATTCTGCGTTTTTGTTTGAAATGAATTTTTTATACGAATCATCAATTTTCAAAATTATGCGTGGCTGGGGGAGGTTCTATGGTTGGTCAATTAAGAGGGGAGGAGAGGGGTAGAGATTGTACGGTTGATCCCAATTTTGTTTCGACTAGATTTTTGTTGTCAGAATTCCTAGCTGAAAATAAAAACCTTCAAATTTGTGGACTTGTTCTATAAAATTGCTTTCGAATTAGTTGCGCTGAACTTTAAACATTTTTTTTAATTAGAGGAGCTAGCTAAATTGACAAAAAAATTTTCCAGAAATTAGCAAATCTTAGCCACAAATTTTTTGATGCATAGTATTGAATTAAAAGTTATGAGAGTCACAGAAAAATTGGAAGAATGTTTCTGGTTAAGTTAACGCTCTCAGTTTGTTGTTCCGACCACTTTAAGCGGGGACAAAAGTTGTGTGCGGTTGTATTTCACTTTTTTCATTGAAAATCAGGTATCACAAATAATCATACGAATGGATGAAATGCTGTATCATATTAAATTCCTTCCAGTCCGCAATTCGAACGGCAATAAAAAAATTCAGAAATCTTTTCTGATTGTTGAGAAAAATTGATTTGAAATTTTTGCTTTCTCGATCGAGGAAAGCGAGCGAGTAAAGATTGTCATGTAAAAATTGGTTCTTTAAGCTTTAAAAACCTGTTTACCAAAAAAAACGAGTTATTGAAAATTAATGTAGCTCTTCCCTGCCTTTAAAAAAAGAAAGCTGACTGAATTTGAAAAAAAAATGAGAATTTGTAACTGTGGTTGGAACTTAGTGTTATTTTGACAGCAACCGGGTTGTCGTGGTCTTAAATATAATCATAGACAATAGTAACAGTTGAGCACTACAGCTGAAAAAAAATCTTTTTTGTCATTGCTCAGAATTGCATATATTGAAAAAAAATATTGTTTGTTTTCTCGACTTAAATGTTTTTGTAGGTTCACTTTTTAGCAGCATTTGACTAAGTTAAATATAGTTTCCATTGATACGATTCTACTGCTTTCTTTTTTGGAAATTGCGGTGATTGATTTTGTTCGGATAGTTTTCATCTTCGTCGTTTTTTAAGTGTCAATGAACGAAACAAAGACATTGTTGTAGGTATTTTTTTAAAGAAAGACTAACTCCACTCTCGAACTTCAAAAGTGTGAAGGTAACGAAAAATGTGATCGAAATCTAGTTAAGAAAGTGGATTTTAAATTTCAGATTTCCCTGCGGAATAAAAACAAACAATTAATCGGTTTTTCTGCAATTGGGTCAGTTTTTATCGAAAAAGTCGATCACAATTATTCCCTGAAATTTGAAGAATTTTAAGCGTATATATTTTTTTCTTTGAAATTCGAAAGTTGAAGTTTTACCAAAAAACCACATTTATTTTTCTGTTTCCTCGCGTTGATTTTGACACTTTTCCAACTATATGTTGGCTATGTTTTGATTCTGTCGTTTGAATAATTTATTATTTGTTGGTAGGAAGTTTGGTGTTATGGCAGAAGTTATTGACCGGGTTGTTTTGCAAATGTACTTTTCCTGGAATAGTATTTTTTTCTAAGTTTAATGTTTTTATTACAGGTGATGCGATACTCGGCTTTCCATCTGTTACTCGGCTAGTCATGTTTAGTAACTTAATTTCAACCGTCTGTTTGCTATGTTCTGTGAAAAACTGAGTTGTAATATCCTGTTTAGCGTGTAAATTTTCTGATTCAATTTTGTTGATAATTTTTGAATAACGCATAAAGACAGGTACCACTGAGCGGCATATTGTGCTAACATTTAAACATAGAAGTACAATTTTTTGTTGATTTTACCACTTCTTTTTTCTAGTTGTCATAGTATCTTGATTGACCCAGAAACAGCTCATTAAGTTGACAAACCACTGAACTTCTGAAAATCATATGGTTTTAGAAGATACTATTTTAAAGTTTTAATGATGTTTTCGAAATTTTAAAATTTGCAATGAAAAGCTGTTAAATTTTGAAATTGATGGTTGAGCACCGGAGTAAAACAACATAAATTGACACTGAAAATGGGCACAAACCATTTCATGCTGAGTATTATGTATTATAAAGTTATAATTTCAAAACTATTTCTAACCTAGTGAGAAAAGACCCGTGATTGTAAGATAGAAGTAATTTGATCATTTTCTTGAAAGTGGTCACGAATGTTCACAGATACGGGATGGTCTTAATCCAACTGAGAGCAATCACTTGATCTGTTTTAGCAGTCCCAAATGTCAGCAGCAGTTATGGGCTCTGCCTCGAACCACCCAGGGTCCCAAACATCGCAAGATCTAGCACAAGCCCAAATGCTAGCTCTGGCACAAGCTTCAAACAAAGACAACACTCAGCAAAATTCTCTCCATGGATCTAACTCGACTTCAACTATTTCTCAAAATACATCCGCAGCCAACACTTTGATGCAGCAAAACGCACAACTCAAAGCATTAGGACTCATTCCCCAAGGAAGCGATGTTCCGGGACTCGGAGGAGCGTCATCGGCAGGGGATCCGAATGCAGGAGGAGGTGGAACTGCCGGGTTGCTGGCGGCGTTAGCTGCTTCTCAGCAGCAGCAACAGCTAGCAGCGTTGTCGGCAGCAGCGGCACAACAAGGATACCAATTTGGAGGTGGCGCGGGATTGCCTTACCAGACGTTTCCGACAGGACTTGACATCGTGAGTTTGGTTATAGTGGTGGCGATGATTGTAATCAATTGAAAAAAAAACACAATTTTGAATTTTCCAAAGTGTTATAGAATTTCCTGAATGTTTTTTGCATAATTTGACTATTTGTGTCAGTTCCAGCAAGCTGCCCTCCAACAACAGCAGCAACAACACCACCAGCACCAGCAGCAACAACTCTTAGCTGCCGCACAGCTATCAGCCATGGGGGCACACTATCCCCACCACACGCAACAACATCACTCGGGAGGCGGAAACGCCGCCGCCGACTTAGCCGCGCTGCTCTACGGGACAACCGCAACTGGAGGCCACCACGCCCAACACCAACATCAGATGCAAGTGGCATCTAATGCATTCATCAGTGCCCCGCCCAGTGCCTATATCAAGGCGGAACAGGTGGTCTATGACAACAGTGCCAGGGCATCGCCAGGCGGCGCCAGTGCTGGATCCATGATAGAAGTGAGTTTTAAATTGTATTTTGATTTGTGAATCCAGTTTGAGATAATTGCTAGCTTAACTGGTAAATATTGATGACATAATCTCGTTATGGTAGTTTAAGTAGTTGTTTTGTCAATTGATGTTCATTTTATTCGATTTCATCGATTGAGTTAGAATTAATACCTAATGATTTGCTTGGTTGATTGTTTAGCATGGCACTAACCAGCATGATAGTACTTATAACACATCTCCTTTTGCCCCGCCCGCAATATCGCAAATGGCACACCCTTTCTTATACCCGCCTGCAATAAATAACCCTTTATCCGTCTATCCGCCTCCAATGCATGGGGGAATGGGAGGTTACTTCCCCCAAGTAGGAATGACGGGGCACCCGGGTGGTCGGAAACAACTTCCGGTTGCGCCGCCCCCTGGTCACATGTTGCGACAGTTTCCTGACGTCAAGTTCTCGTGTCGGTTCGTCCAGCCGAAGAACGCGAGCGGAGCCGAAGCGCAAACAGAACATAATACACCAAATAGCACTCAGTCGGGTGAAATTTACCCGGACTACGGGAGCGACTCGTACCGCAAAGATTCGGTTTTGGAGGGCAAGGCGGTCAGATACGGGGCTGAAGAATTGATTATGAAAAAAGAGACTAGTTCTCATGAGGTTTGATTCAGTCATATAAAAAGCCGAAAGATTTTAGTTTCAAATGGCTCGCTTTGCAAAAACATCCGATAGACTAACCTCTTTTAAGTAGTCCCTTGAACTTTTCGAAAAGTTTTAGAAATTAAGCAAATAACCCCCCTTCTAGCTTAATGAAAATTAATGCGGATGTTTTTAGGCGGTCTGAATTTTTAGTTCTCTTATTGTTGATTCCAGTTGAAACGGCTGTTTTTAGTTGAAACATTTGTCTGTTGAATTTGTTGAAGAGTGTTTTAGTAAATAACTGACTCAATGACTGTTAAGCTTGCTTTGAGATTGTGCCTGTTTCAAAGGCGTCCTTAAAAATGAAGAAAGATCATAATCCTGAACTTTTCTTTCCAACCAGTTGTATCATCTTAAAGCCCTTCATTTGTATTCCAAAAATTTCTCGGTGTCGAAAAAAAACTGCTCTGAATATTTTTGTCATTCAAACTGATTTATTGTTATGGTGAGTGGATTATCAATGTACGTGCAAAGCATTTCAGGCTTCATTATGCTGACCATTAACAAAAGTTTGGGTTTAATTTATAAAAACTGCTATCTTGACTGAATCTGCACTGACTTAAAGTTTGAAAAGAATGCCTATAAAAATTTATTGTTTTTAAAAAGGAATTAAAATCAGCATTTTTTTATTTCACTGATTGGCGCAGTTTGAACGTTGTAATTTGAAGGCAAATCCCTTTTTAAACATCTATCTCAACAATTTCTAGCCTGTAGATCGTGACATAAAATCTGACATAAAACATGACATGAAATCTGCCTTTTAGCATTGGACTTAAACGACCGAGACGGTGCTTTCGCTTTCGTGAGTTCACTAGATGTTATAATAAATACTTAACTGACTAAGCAGAGTTATTATAATTGGTTGTTTTGTTCTATTACCCTCTCCCTGTCAAAACCACCTGTGATTAAACATGTGATGAATTTCTTACTCAAACACGGATTTTCACTTTAGGCTAACTGATTGTCGCTTAGCACTTGGTCGTTTCTCCAGTTTGAATCACTGAAGTCTCGTCATTTTTTCAGAGGGATTCATTATATACAAGCCAAAAATATCGTTGAACAAATTTGTCATCTTATAGTTACTGCGTGAATAGGTTAAGGGTTATTTTAAGCTATAATGGATATCTTAAAATTACAAAAACTCGATTAATTGTTTTCTAATTGCTAGAGAAAGAAGCTACGGCGCGGAAGTTACTCGTCTCAAATCAAACGGCGTTAGTCCAAAATATTTTTACTCAGCTCGTTTACCATATGGAGTTGGGTCTTCAAAATCATAATGGCTGGATATATTCTGTCGGTTTGAAAAATGTGAATATTGACGAAAGCTTCAAATTTGAATTTTTTCTATGTGATGTGGTTTGTTTCTGTCAAAAATGAGAGCTTTGAATGTTTTTAGAACTGCGAGTGACTCTCATCAAAATCAACTGTTTTAAGTTTTAAATCGCCTGATTAAACTTGAGTCTTAGTGATCTACTCTTCAATACCGGGAACTTTTTTTCTAAAGTGGTTTTAATTCGTAATCAAAATATTTAGATAATGAAACAAAATTTTTTCTCAATTTAGAGATGAAGGAAGTATTCCAGTACAGAATAGGCATGTTTTCCAATGTAACAATTTTTTGGTAAATGTGAAAATGTTTTACAAATATCATAGCCGTGAAAATATTTTGTGCGAAAAATCGGGTCGGGAAGGCGGGAAAAATGTGGTATTGTTGAGTAGATCTAAATTTGTGTTCTGTCTTCGAACTGTTTGCTTCTATTCAAACATTTTTCTAATTGGCTTAACTTGTTTCAGCCCAACTTAATGAAGAGAACTCTTGACTCGACGGGCGCTGATGCAGTCGCGAAGAAACAAGCCAAGTTTTGACGAGGACCAAAGTGAACAGAAAAACGAATTGTCAAAAACAGGAGCCGTGAACAGAAAACAATCAGGGTTTATGTGCTGTACTGCACGCAGTATAAAATGACGAAAAGTTTTTAATGATTTCTGGAATAAAATAGAAAATCTATCGGCAGTGACCAAAGTTGAAAAAAAAACGTCCTCAATTTTGTCCGAAATGATCGAGCAGATCAGCCGAGACAAGAAGAAAAACTGAAAAGGCGGAGCCAGAACTCCAGTCTTGAATAAAAAAACTAACGAAGTCAGAGTTTAGAAAAATGTAGATGAAAATTAGTCTTTTGTTGTTTGCGTTGCTTCCTTAATATTAACAAAAATGTGTGATATAATTTGGATGTACATTTAGATTACAAGTATGTAGTGCTCAATCAAAGCAGCAAAAATTGGAAAGCACAACCGAAAATGTTCACTGTCTCTTATATTGTTTCTATGCAACAAAATTTTCTTCGCATTCCGTGAGTTTGACCTGAACAATTTATCTTTGTCGGATAAAAGCAACTGTTTTTGTTTTTTGTAGTGACAAAAATTGGTGATATTTTAACGTAAAAACTGCCATACTGATAATTCCATTTTTAAGAGTTGTTCAAATTAAGTTCTATGAAAATTGTTCAGCCCAACCTGCCCGACTATTTGTTGGCTATTGTCTATCCTGTCAGTAATTCAAAATCAATTTTGAAGACGTCAAAATTATGTGCTGTATTTCTTCCAGAACATTCCAAACTTCATGACCTTGCGCCTCTTTTCTTTCTGTACTTTGATTTACATAGCTGATTTTCACTCAGGCGACTGATGTTGTCTACTTTGTTTGATTTAAGATTATTGGTAATCAAGATTATGTAATTTTCTTTACTCTATTCTATGCTATACATTCCTCAAAATTATTCATTATAGAATCCCGAGTCCATATAATCAATGACAATACACTATATTTTTGAAATTTTTTAAAACCTTGTGGAAATGGAATAACAGCGTAGTTTCACGAATTAGCGTTACCTCTTTTCTGCCGTTTTCCTACCAAAAAAGTAGGAAGATTGTCTCAAAAGTTATAAATACACATTCAACCAAGAGATTCTAGCATCTAACTTGTACTCTAAGTAATTTGTAGCCTTCAAAAGAGGACAACCAACAGCCTTTTTTTAACAGAGCCTCTTTTAAGAGTCGATGAACGTAAATCAGGCTCTAGTATAGGTGACGTTTTTATTTTCTAGGAAAAGTCTTAAACTTGTTCAGGCTCAAATTTTACTTTTCGCAGTTTGACTTCTGATTTTTTTTTCAAGTGTAGTTCATTTCTTTTGAAAGGAAGCCAAACTCCACTATCAAGCAGCGAAACTTTAAAGGTCACGAAAAGTTTGATTGATTTCTGTTTTCGAAAATAAATTTTAGTTTTTAGATTTCCCGGCGAAACCGAAAAAATTATCGGTTGATCCAGTTTTCTCAATTTGGGTTGATTTCATCAACGAAGTGTCTTCAAAAGGTTTTTTAGAAATTTAAAGCGTTTTTCTTAACAAATCAAACAAATTTTTTCTGTTTACTAGTGTTCATTGACTTCTTTCACAGACAACACTGAACTGAGCCCATGCAGCAGTAACCAGTGAAAATTTTGAAAATATATCCAGTCAGCCAAAAGCAAACTGAAACCCGAAATCAAGAATAAATTAAAGGTAATTCTTTGGATATCACCAAATATTACTGGTGTTCAAATTTCTAAATATCGAACAAACAAGAATCCATATAGTGCCAAGTTTTCAAATGTAAAAATAAGTGTTTTGGACTATTCGCCACTTCCAAAAACTGAATTTCCTTCACAGTTTGAATTTCTATTGGATATCTATTTTTTGACTGTATCTTGCAGACTAGATCCGCGATACCTGATTTAAAACATGCGCTTCCAAAAACATGCTAACCAGCAGAGAATCATCTAGTTTTATGTACAAACAAGTTTGTGTTTTGATCGCGTAAAAAATTTGAACGGTTGATTTATTCAGCTGCCACGCAATAGGCATGCACTCTTTTTTTTTGAACAGAAACTGCAAACATCAGAACTTCCGGTCTTAACTCAACTAGAGATTCAAATAAAAAAGAACGTGAAAAGAAGAAAGGGTTGGAAATAGAGGCAAAAACATTCTCAGAGCCAACTTCACACTAGTTGTTGTTGACAATATGTACGCATTAGAAATTTTGTTTTAGCTTAACTCTCGTTTTTTTTTTGCTTTTTGAAATAGATGCTGTTTTTTCTTGACTTTGATTTCTAACGTGCATACCACTTTTTTGAAGTTACTTATAAATTATTTGAAAAAAAAACATGAAAATGAGTAGTTTCTTTTCCTGTAAGCAAAGTAAGTATTAATTAATTTGGAAACACATTTTTTGACATAATTTGAGGAGACCATTTACGCACGCGAGAGGACTAAAAGAATGTTTTTGTGCCCATACTCAGTAGCTACACGATATTTTTTGATCAAATTTTAACTCGTGTTAGGCACAAATAATGTAACGCACGGATCATGTTCGACCTCAAGTTGTCAATTTATTGAAAGAAAATTGGCAATTTTATTCATTTGCAATCGCGTGTTGCAATTTTTTAGCTAGTTTTGATAGTTAATTTTGCAAAAAAATGACTTTCAGAGCGATAGTTTTCGAAAAAGTGCCAATAGTATGAAATGCACCTATGAGATGAGTTCTTAAATGAGTGATGAGACTTCTGATAATTTGTTTTGACTTTTTCTTTCATTGAGTTCAAGAAAAATATTAGATGGCTATGTACAAACAATTGAACAAATTTGCTTTACTCAATTCAGTCGTTTTTTTTGTGGACAATTTTGTCAAATGTTTCTAATTTGATATTAGCCTTGTTCTTGTAACCATTGTAAATGAGGAGAAACATTGTCTTCGGGTGTGTTTCTGTTTGTTTTTCTTGCAATTTTGGGTGCCACGAATATATATTGGGACAGACCGAGTGACATGTCGAAGTGAAAATTTTTCAGAACAACATTAAATAGGTCAAAAAATTTTCCCAGAACAGAGAAAAGTTTGAAATTGTAGACTTTCAATTTAACTTCGAGCCACTAAAGCGAGTGTATTTCATATTAGTCTTGTAGAAGTCAAAATCTTCAAGCCGTGAACATTGGTTCACTCCAGTTAAATATGTTTTCAGACAAGCATCTTTTTTTTCTTAAATTTTTTTTGCATTTTCGAATTTTTTTCTCAACATTATTGTTTTTTTTCAAAACAATTTTTTTTTCGAATATCCGTGAATTTAAAATCTTTTAAAGTGCTTAAAATAGATGCATTAGTTCAGATCCTCTCATCACACCACGAAAAAAAAAACGACACAATTTGAGTAAAAAAAAACATTTATTCTTGTTTTGAAGCTAGTTTTGCAACTCACTTTGAAACAAGTGAATCAAATTTGATAAGAAAAAAGGCGATTCTTGAGTTCTAAATCAAAACGATGAAAATTTTAAAAGAAATTCTGTACAAAACAAAATAGCTGTAAATCCAGTAATCTGAGATTAAGTGAATCTGATAAAAAAACGTTCAACCAGCATTTTTTCGATGCATGAATTTTGGAGAACAATCAAATCTAGCTGACTGTTGACTGCTGACCGTCAAAAATCAGCTGACTGCCGACAGGTTTTTGAGTGCAAAACTCATAAATTGAGCTCTATGCGCATAAATCTTGACTGGAAATTGAAAAGCAGCAAAAAAAGTTTGGCGCAAAGATCAAGCAATAGATGGAGCTTTTTCAAGCTTTTACACTATACACCTGGAGATCGGATGCTCAAATTGCGTCGGCGATAGTTTTTTGCTTAATTATCAAATTTTTTGATATTTTTGTTCAGGTCATTTCTTTACTTGGGAATGCGGATTGCTGCGTGGCCTTGTGTAGATGTTTGAAGAAAAGACCAGCTAAACAGAACCACGAAAAAAACTACAGAAAAAGATTTTAGCGGAAAAAGTGGCTGAAGTGTGCTGACTTTTACAGAAGTGTGCTGAATTTTTTTCTTCCGTTACTCTTTCGAGAGCAAGTGCATTGTAATCAAGAACTAAAAGTTTTCCTGCAAGCAAACTTGTAGTAGATAGGCAACAGCTACATATTGCATCGAGAATATTTGTGAATAAATCGAGATACGCTATTTTGAAAATTCGAGTTGCAATAAAAGCTGTTGCTTATCTGGTATAAAACACATATAAAAAAGATCAAATACGCACATTTGAAAAAGTTTTTTTCTCTGAGACTTGATTTTTACTAACGAGTTTTTTTCATTTTAAAATGGACCAACCTTTTTGCTCAAACAACCATGATTAATCCCTTAGCGCTCCAGCAAGTCTCTCGCAAATTCAATAGCTCAAAAACAGATGGGAATCCAGGATAAAATCCATATTATGCAACCAAAAACTGAAAATTAGGCTAACCAGTTCATCAAAAAACTCGTACTAATTTCATTGTCTTAAGGCGGCGTTTAAATTGCGTGCCCTTGTAAATAACCTCATAGTTTGTGGTTGCATAAAGTTCAGAAAAAAGACAACGAGTTTCTTGGATGCTCATATGACGATCTCTTTAAGTGTTTTACTAACTACAAATGAGTACTTGGCTCGTTTTTCAAGGAAGTGAGGCCAGAAAAAAAAGAAACGAATAGCATCCAAAAAGTATTCATCAGATGTTTGTTAGCCTGCAGATGTTACTCAATAAAAAGCTACCGACTGAAAAATAAATGTATTCAAGGACACTGAATTCCTCCCCATTGCGGAAAACATCGACACAAAGATAAAACAGCTGACAAAACAGGGTTATCGAACTGCTATCAAGCAGGCTGAAGTGATTACCGAAGATATGGAAAAACCAGCTACTGGTGTGTCATCGACACTTGGAAACAATGTGTTCAATGGGAATGTTGTCATAAGCAAACATGTAAATCAAAATCCTTCATTCTGTTTCAATAAAAATTTAAATTACGTCTTTGAGCTGTGAATTATTAACTGTGCATCATTTAGCAGTGCTTTATTTAAGTAAAGTTCCGTTTAAATTTTAGAATGGTTAAATTAAGGCACGTAAACAAATTGAACACGTGTGGTTTATCTGTTCAAAAAGTGCTCTTTCCAATCTGTGCAAATGTTGATGTAAAATGGTCAAATAAAAGCCTTGATATGTTAAATTTGTTCACATTACATCTAAAAGATACATCACATTACATCATTGTTGAATGTGTGCGGGTTTTGTCCTCTTTTAACGGATTCATTTTCCGTTTTTTTTTCTGACTAATTAAATATGTCAGAAATTGAACTTGCTACATTTTTGAACATTAACAAAGGTTATCATTTGAACATTTATTGTCATTTGGCCTGAAGGTAACACATTGGCAAACATGAAAATGAAATTTATCAGGAAATTTGAATTGCAGGCATTTTTTTTGTTTGCTTTTTTATTTTCGGAATAATTTTCAAAGCATGGAGTTTTTTTCTGAAATAAAATTTTCTAACTGTTATTGATCATGTTCATTCGCTTATTTACCAACTCGAATTCTTAAATAACTTTTTTTGTCTCTTTTGCTTACTGAAATGTTCAATTTAATAACTTAATCGCTCAAAAGATCTTAGATTTCGTGACCATAAATATTTATAGCAATTTTTGTTTTGGATTCGTGTCTGCCTATATATTGTCGGTTTAGCGGCTCAATGGAAAACATAATATTGCTTCGACCAGTCTCAAACTCCTGAAGGAATAAGGTAGATTTTTCGGCCTAAAATTATATAATTTTTTTTTAAATCGGTTTTAGGGGGTGGTTGCCGTATGAAAGGCATCAACGCTCCAGAGCAAAAACATTTGGCTCTAAATCAGTCAGTTGGAGGCTTGAATAATCTAGGGGGAACTTTTTTGTCTTCAGCTTATATTTTCTTGTTATAATTTTTTTGCCTAAACGATTTCAAACTTGAGTT